ATATATATTACGGATTCCCCGCAATAAACAAGGGACTACTGTACAACAATCTGTTTCACTGTATATTATGCTAGCGGTGGAGATTTGTGATCCTTCATTTTTACTGTTCCAGTAGATCAGCCTGGGTGTGCACCTATCCTTACAGGAAAGCTGAGCTCATCGTGACCATACTTACTCATTTATAATCCTCTCAAAATAAACAAGATGGCAGAAACAAGACATGTTATTGGACTGTTGGTAGGTGTCATGTCGGCAAAAGCACCCTGACTGGAAAGCATCATTAGGAAACAACTTGGCGTGTCGCTGTCAAAAACAAAAAAAATAAATACCGTTAGGTCTGTCTGTTGTGATGGTCACATTATGTAACTAGAATATTTAAAAATCCATACCCATCCCTAGGTCTATCTTATCTTATCTTACTTTGAATGCCTTCAGTTTGGAGAACTACAGTTAAGTTTAACGTGGACTGATAAGCTAATGGCTAGTCCAAACAGAGCCAAGACCAAAGTGCTGCCCTGTAAAACAGACTGAAAATTTAATAGTGTTTTATGAGAACACAAGAACAATACCCTGCCAGTCCTGCATAATATGATTTTCTTGCCAGAAGTGCTACAGCTAGGTGCAGTTGCCATTTGGTTTGCAAATGCCCCTTAAAACCTTTGTAAATAACTGACGGTGATACAAAGGTTTCTTAAATAATTTCTGCATGAACCTCTATGAAATCATTGAGCTTGGATTTGTTTGAACAAATGGTGTTTTTGTGCTGAAGGACCTGAAGGATGAGAAGAAGAAAGCCAGGATGGCAGCAGCCAGAGCAGTTCTGGAGAAATGTACCATGATGCTCCTCACAGCCTCCAAGGTAAACAGATAGGGACTTATTGATCAGGTTAAAAGTTTAAGATCTTCTCAGGTTTTTATTTTTTTACTCCAAGGTCTCCAATATGCTTGAATAATATAATAGTTGAGTCAGGGCACAAACAACAAAAAAGAGAGAGTAAAGGGGGTTGGAAGTGTTGACCTTTCACGTCGAGTTTCTTCTGCAGACTTGCCTGAGGCACCCGGATTGTGAGTCGGCGAGGATCAACAAAGACGCTGTGTTCCACCGAATGCGCTGTGCCCTGGAGCAGGTCATCGAGATCGTTACTGAGGCACGGAGCTGTGCGGAGAGCAAGGTCCTTCCTACCAGCATCTACAACAGCATCAAAGACTTTAAGGTCATTTTTTTAAACTCACAGTTTGTGGTAAATTATATTTGTCTGACATCTACAAAATGAAGTCACTACTCCCCGAAGGAGCTTGTCTACTTGTATCAAATCTACCTAACCAAGTTGATTGAACGACTGATTGTCGAGTCAAATGTTTTTAATATTTACGGAGCAATGCACGCATTTATTTTTTATTATTCTTTGCTCATTGTAAGTCCAAATTGTAGTTGCAGAATTGCAAAGTTTGCATTTGTCATGTTTTGTTGGAGCTTCAGACGTGACTCTATCAAACCTACTTCTCTTGGAATTCTAATACAGTCGTGTGAAGCACCATTAAACCACCCTCACTAATCCACTCTCTCCGTGCTGTACGCTGACAGATGAGAGAACTGAACCCTGGTGAAAACACTTTGAGGGCACCTCCTCCTCTGAGGATAGAAGAAGAAAGTATTTTAATGGAAGGCCCGGAGATGGTCGATTCTTTTGATAAATGGCTCACTAGATTTTAATGGCAACTGGTTATTACATCGGAGAGAGCTTTAGTTGTCTTAAAAACAGGTGTTTGTTTAAAAAAAAGGGTTCAGACGAGGGAAAAATGCATTAGCTTTTACGTTCTTCTGCTTGTTTTGCACAATCCTTCCTTTAATTGCTACCGTTTTTTTCAACGCTCCACTCCTGCAGTCCAGCGTGGAGTGCCTGCGGGAGAACCTGTACTCCTCGACACCACAGAGCATGACCAGTCAGCTGGAGTCTCTGGTGGAGCGGACAGAGGACTTCACCGATTCTCCGTACACCAGCCACGAACAGCGTCAGGCCATTCTCGGTCTGTGCCAGCTGGCGCATCAGGACATCCAGCACCTGGCGTACGCCTGGACTGAGGCGGTACGTTGGCACGGGCTGGAGGTCAGATGTGCACCCATGCATTCATACCCGTAGGAGGATTCATAGAAAACATGAAGCCACGTGAGGAATATGTCTCATCTGTGACAGTTAGTTTAATTAAAAAAATGCAAAACAGGTGTATCCAAGAAGACATGAGCTGTAGATTGTACATTAGTGAGCAAAATATATAAACCACCCCCAGTTTCTTTATAATTTACTTTCAAGGCGACAAACTTTCCCATAATTCTTTTTTCAAGTGGCTTTCTGAAGATTTCTCACAAACCTGTCGACTTTATGGCAAGATTTCAACTAAAAGCCCCTCGAGAATCACTTTATTGGTGCTAAAATACTTTTTTTTTTTGGTCTGACCAACTGTTTTCGTTAGTATTTTCCATCTTTTCAGATGTTGAATTTTAAACAATTCCTGTTTTTTGGGACAATATGCTGGTAAAGTGCCTACAGATCCTATTTAAATGTCTTTATTTCCCTTTTTTTTTGCAAGCGGTTTGTTTTGAGTCAATCAACTCTTGTTCATTATTTGAGTTTAGAAGAGATTTCATGTCTGAATGAGTCAAATATCTGAATTATGCTACATAACAAATAAATATTGTTGCGTTACTGCATTAAAAATAAGTTAAATATCTGCCAAAGTTAAAAAAAATAATATTTTTAAAGACCTTCAGAAAGTCTGAAGAAGTACTGGTCAAGACCAATTTAAAGGATTACAAGAAAGAAAATAAAAATAAATGAGGAATAATTCAAGACGTTTCCAGTTTTGCAGTTTAAAGAATTACTGCAAACAACATCTAATGTTTTACAGGAGCCAATTAACAGAATTACAATGAATAATTAATTAAGATAAGATAAAATATAACTTTATTGATCCGCAGGAAATTGTTGTGCCAGAGTTTCAGTACAAAGGAACATAGACAAGAATCACAAAAGATATTTATATTAAAAAAGGAGAATATAAAAATCACAGAATGTAAAAATACCAACAATTAAGTTCAATTACGGTTAATTAAGTAGTGACTATTAGGACAAATTCGCATGTTCACAAATATGCAGGTTTTTTATGTAGTCCTGTAAAGTATGGCATTAGGTTTTAGTCATATTCACGTATGAAAAAAAAAAATCTACATTTCCAAATTATTCCTTGTCTGTTTTTTCTAAAAGTTAAATAATCCAAATGTCTGAAAAAAATAATTTCCCCAGCTAACCAAAGCACTTTTCTCATTGATTTCATCCAAAAATCTAAGCATTCTTTGAGTGAAGGGAATGAAATGAAGGGAAAACTTCAACATTATTTGAATGCAAAAAAAAAAAGAAGCCTACTTGAAGGAATGCACATCACCCTCCTCCTTTCATGCCAGACATTTAAACTAAGAACATCTTAAGATGAGAAATGCAGACAAATATCATTTTGCTCAGTCTCATGCAATGACATGTCACTTGAATATATAGTGAGCATGACTCTCAGCTACTACCACATCAAAATGTAGCTGAAAATCTGTAAAACTGACTGAATTAAAGCCATTTTTGTGTTGGGTAATGATGATGAGCTGTGGCAGCCATTATTGGGTTGACTTGTAGATATGATTATTAATGATTACTTTCTGAGAGTTTCTTAAAATCCATCCAACGGTTCATGAAATATTTTGATAATCGACAGGCACACAAATACACACAGATACACAGGCAAAACATTATCACCTGCCTTTTTGCTCTCAACAGCTGGTGATAAAAACTTAGTTAATGTTTCTTCTACGACTGTAAAGGTCCTGTTGTCTTTAAGTCTAAATGTTCATTTTATTTGGAATTTACATTAAAATATCAACCATTAATCTATAGCAAATTTGTTTTTAGTAATTAAAAACAGAGAAATCTGAGATTTTAAGTCTGAAATTTGTAAATTACCCAAAATGTACTTCATATTCCAGATTTTTTACCCCCCTTTTTGTTTCATTCTTAAATAAAAGTCCAGTTGTTTTTATTTTGTTTATCATTTAGTTAATGGAAACAGATGAATGGTTAAAAACAGTGATCATCAGCTGTAGCCTGTTAAAACGCTTTTTAAATGGGAGCAATCTGTGTGCATTTGTCTCCTTGGTAGCCTAAAGATGGAGATCAGCAGCGACACAGCATCCTGCACGCACTCTTCATTAACCTCCCCAGTCTGTTTCCTCACTCCTCTCCTGGAACAACAGAGCATAATAACGCTCTTGAATAATATTCATGTTTTTTTGTCCTTTTCTTTCCCTATGGAAGCTCAGTCAGCCATCATGGAGACAACATGCAGTCTTCTCTGGCGTTCAGCAGCGTCTCCTTGGCCTTAAAAAGTGACAGACTTATGAAACACGAGCCTTTGTGCTGCAGCTCCTTCTCACTGTAAACTTCTCCCGGCGCCTTCAGAGAGCCCGCAGCTGCATAATTGTACGGTAGTGCCTCATCTAATCCTCGCAATTGAAGGTCGCGCTGAGACTTGAAAAGACCCGAGCGCTGCAGTGTTTAGAAAGTGCAGAGATAGAATTTGCAAATATTATTTCTGCCCAGGCCTATTCGAGCATTTACATGAGCAGGTTTAGGAGAGTGGAGGCTTGTTTTAGCTGCAGTTTTATCCCTACTAGTCTAAAATTTGGAAAATTGTAGTGTAGTGTTCGTTGAATAATTTAATTGGGTATAATCACTCCAATTTGATTGCTCAAAATGATATACTAAGAGGCCTTGCATATTTAGAAGACAATAGTTCACAAAAATTAGACCGTGCCATTAAAGCTCCAAGTTACTATGTCATTCTCATTCTACTCCTGCCATTAGATCACCACGCCTGCTTGTGTTTAGTCTTACTCTCCTTGCTCTGTGTTTGAAGCAGCAGTCTGTCCATGCCAAAGAGGCCACAGAGGAAATGGAGGTGGCTATTCTGAAGTCATGCCAGAGCATCAACGACCTGAGACGCGAGGTGAGCCATATAGTCTGCTCCCAAGTCTGAAAAGTTTCAGACTGGAACGTCTCTCATGTCTCGCCTCCCGCTTTGACTTCCCTCCAGCTGTCAGCTCACTTTGTCACCTCTGCTCATCTTTCTGTCTTTGCCCCCTCAAAACACCAACCAGATTCCTCCCGTGCAGTCATCTTTCTTTCTCTTTAATCTTCCATTCCTCCTCCAGCTTCATAAGGTCGCAGTCGGCCGTGCCACTGACTTGCTGAAGGTTCACGGGGAGCATCTGCCTCTGAGGGCTCTCAAAGCGGTGGGCGTCGAGGGAAACCTGGAGGCGGTGGCAGAGTATTCGCGCACGCTCACCGAGCAGAAGGAGCAGCTGGTGGAGGTAGGCGAGGGGTCGAGGGGGGACATGGGGGGGGGGGGGGCATTGGGAACAGTGAAGCCAGTAGAGGATGACTCAGAGTTTATTACTTGGAAATAAAATTGTTTTAAAGATCATGTTTGTCTGCATACTTTACTGTATCTCCATCTTATTGTGGTAGAGGAGTTTGTATGCCTGAATGATTGTAGGAGCTTTGCTGTAGGGCCAAGGCAGACTGGTCCTAGATGATTGACCAGACAGCAAGTGATCACGGTACTCGTATGGACAGAAGACAGCAAGGAGCTCAATGTCACTCGCCAAGATGTGGGTTATCGTAGCCCCATCCTAAACCCTGGGGGAGGGGTTCTTTATTAAATGCCTGGACACTTATTAGCCTCTATCCATGGTGCCCACTTAGGTTCAGCCCGAATGAGCTTCATGGGTTCACCTCCCTGTGGGCCCACCCCCTCAGCAGTAGGGGCTACAGTTTGAGTGCATAGTGCTTTGGATGACAGCTGAAAGAGGAGGTCTTGGTGCTCTGACTCTGGCTTACCGAAGCGTTCTTTTGGAAAATAGAATACACCTGAATGGACCCTTCCATGAAACAACAATCATGTAAACATGATTGTTAAATCCTGTTTTTTTTCCAGCTGAGGCGACTGTCTAAACTGAAGCCCATACTGTCCAAAAATAACCTTGAGACAGTAATACATGTGTTCATAACATCCAGGCTCGATTACTGCAATGCGCTTCTGTTTGGAATCATTCAGTCCTAAGTTGCACGACTACAACTGGTCAAAAATGCTGCAGCCCGATTTTTTACCGGTACAGGCAAAAGACACATTACACCAGTTTTGGCCTTCCTGCATTGGCTCCCGGTTCACTGTCGAATTCAGTTCAAAATCCTTTTGTACATTTTTAAATCATTTAACAGTTCTGCCCCCTTTTATCTCACTGATCTACTGCAGCCATATGTCCCACCGCTCTCTCTGAGGTCAGTGAATCAGATGCTTCTTTCGGTTCAGGAATACGTCATAAGCTCAGAGGTGACAGGGCTTTCTCTGTTGCTGGTCCAAGACTGTGGAATGAGTTACCTCTGCATGTCAGGCAGGCCCCTTCTCTCACTTTTTTAAGTCTCGCTTAAAACCCCACTTTTATTCCCTGGATTTTGACACAGTGTGATTTGTTTTGATCCTGTCTGTATTCTACAGTGTTAGCCATTTAGTTATCTTCTTCCATTCATATCTATATTTTTTATTTTACTTTATTTTATGTTTTGCTGTGTGCTTTGCTTGTTTGTTCTGCTGTACAGCACTTTGGTTGGCCTTGCTGTTTGAAGTGCTCTATAAATAAAGTGATGTGGTATGTATGGTACCTCTCTAGTGGGGAAGTTGGGCTCACCTCAGTGCACAGCTTGGGTTTTGGAACCAATCTCTATGAGACCTTATTCCACTCTGGGGTTGCCCATGGTGAGATGTGTCAGGCTGGTGTGGGTCTACGTATAACCCCCTAGCTTGGTGCCTGTGCCTTGGAGTTTTCCCCGGCAGTTGAAAGAGTAACTTTCCTGCACTTTTGGGTAGGAGGGATGGGCTCTGAATGTTGATTGCACCTATACCCTGCCCTTACTTGGGGTGCCGGAAGGTGCTCCAGCTGGAGACTCCATTATTCTGCATGGGAAATTTAATGCCCATGTAAAGCAACAGTGTGACCTGGAGTGATGTGATTAGGATTAACGTTCTTTCTGATCTGAACCTGAGCTGTGTTCTGTTGTTGACCTTTTGTTCTAGTCACGGTTTGTTGATCATGAACACCATGTTAGAACATAAGTGTGTCAATCAATGAATGTGGCACCAGGACACCCTTGGCCGCAGATCAATGACTGACGTTGTAGTTGTGTCATCTGATCTGTAGCCTTATGTTTTGGACAGGGGGGATGAAAGGAGCTGAGCTGTCAACTGATCACCACCTGGTGGTGAGTTGGATCAGATGGTGGCAAAAAGACACCAGACGGACCCAGTAGAACCTGGGTAAGGGAGTCCTATCAGGCCATGTTAGCTGCTGAGGCAGCTGAGGAGTATTGATGGGCCAAGCAGGCTGCTGCCCTGACTGTTACTGAAGCAAAGGCTTGGATGTGGTAGGAGTTTAGTGAGGCCTTAGTGATCTCATTATTTTTGTAATAGTATAAAAATCTTCATTATAGATCTGGATTTTAATTACCATGAATAATTTTTCCCTTTTTGTTTTGTATCTGTTTTCAGACGTGCCGGCTGTTGTGTCATGTGTCAGGAACGGAGCCATTAGAGATAACATGTATACACGCTGAAGAGACCTTCCACGTCATTGGTCCCCAGGTAGCATAAACTATTATCTGTACTGAAGGTTCTTTTTAAGTTGGCACTTTATTTGACTTAATGTGTGAGTGGCACAAACAGGAGACAAAAGACCACGGTTGACTTCATTTACACTTAAAGCTGAAAATGCAGCGATTGCTCCACAAGTGGTTGAAGTTGACCAATTTTCATTTTGCCCAGCTTAATCTGGCAATGAACAAAAGCAGCACTCTGTAATCATTTGTTACAGTGAATTTTCAGCTAAACAAAATCTAGAAAATGAATATTTTTATGTTTTAGTAGTTTTTTTTTTTAGAAAATAAATTATCAAAGTTTGAAGTTTTAGAAATTCTTTACAAATTTTGGAAATCAGAATCGCCTTGAAAACCGCATTCGGTGCATCTCTACTAACCACTAAACCAGCTACATGTAACAGTGTTTAACTAGTCCCTGGAAAGTAAAATGGAAGACAAGTACAAGCAGATTTATTTCCCATTTCTCGTTTCCCCCACCTGCCATCCGCTCAAATCGTCAGAGAACATGCCATCCACCTCCATCTACACCTAATTATATTTGCTCTTGAAAACCATTTGTGACAGTAATTATCTAGCAGTGTAGAATGTTCTCGTCCTGCAGTGTTAAAGCCAGGCCCTGTGTGACTCTGCTGTAATGGCTCTGCTCTTAAGGTCAAAGGTCACCCAATCAGTAACGGTGTAGTACGTGTTGTTGTTGGTGATATCGCTCTGTTCCTGCCCGGGGGTAATGCAGTGGTGGCCCACAGGGTAATTGGCAATTAAATACAACACCACTGGAGAAGGATGTTCAGCATGTGTGCACGTACACCTGACTGAGTGCGTTTTAAACTCCGTTTGACAAGTTTTATTTTATCTTGCTGTAGAGTTACCAGACTTGATTGCAGATATAAATTATGGCATATGTTTCAAATATCATGGGTGGTACTGATCATCTGATTAAACTAAAGTTTCCACAGTCAGAAATATAAAATATTTTGTCTTTTTCACTCCGTGGCTCAGATCATCTCAGCTGCCCAGACACTGGCCCTTCACCCGTCCAGTAAGATCGCCAAGGAGAACCTGGAGGTGTTCTGCGAGGCCTGGGAGTCCCAGCTCTGTGACATGGCTCTGCTGCTCAAAGAGATTAACGACGTCTTTGAGGGCAAACGAGGTGCGTTGACGTTAATGATGCATGTGAACGAACACATGTCGTGTTGTAATCTCCAAAGACAGATATATGAATTTACTGTTCACACATTTTTGGCTAAAACAACCAAAAAAAAAAGGTATTTCAAGCAGTTTTCATTTGGATTCCAAATACAGTCAACAAAATTGATTTATTGTGTTGAACGAAATGCAATTTCAAAACCAGCAACTAGTCTGATAACAGATTAGCTTTTAATTATCTTTTGTTGTGCATATTTGCAAACTACACCAGCAACCCCTCCACAAAATTAGCTGTTGCCCCCTGGGACATCAGTCGTCAGATTATAGCTGATGGTTTCTTAGATTCGCTTCATCTTTTTCTTCTTTCTGAGCCCAAAAGAATCAAAGTATTTAATAAAGCCCAGATGAGTCATGTTGTCCTTGAGACTTATTGAAAGTTAAAGTTGAGGCAAGACAGTGAATATCTTTTCAGAATTAGTCATTGCGTTGACCGTGGGAAGTATTTTGCAAAAGAATAGTCATCAGTGCTATTGAACACCCATTCATTCCTCCTCTGCTCTTCTCTGGATTCATTACTACGACAGTAACCTGACATGTCCAAGTGATGCGGGGGCACTCATTCAAATTTAATTAATTTTATCTGTTCTGATGTAAATTGAGAAAAACATTGCATAAGATGCTCACGTCTGCATTTAATTCTATGTTCACATCAGGTAAAATCAATTTTTTCAACCCTACTTTTTCATATAGTATGATGTGGTCACCTAATACAACATATAATTTTAAAATGTACCTCAAAGAGATGATTGAGATATTTTGAATTGCATTTCTTGGGAAATGTTATGAAAACGTATTATCTTGTTTGTTGTAGATACAGATAGAAAAACCTCAGTTTGAAGAAATCGAGTTTAATTCTGACTCAATTTTAAAGAATATTCTGATCATTTATGAAGTAATGTTCCGTCAAATAGTTAGCACATTACTAGCTGTGGCGTCAGTCATAGAGCATGTAGTATGGAAAACAGACGTTTTTCAAATTCTACACATTCACGCAGTAACACGTCTGTGGTTCAGTTGAAAAATTCACTAAACAAATTGTGTACTGAAAAAGTGTAGACATTTATTATTTGTTAACTTGGCTTTCTATTACTAGTATGTCAGTTTTGAGGAAAAGTTGTTTTATAAGTCTGAAAAACAGTTTAAAAATTTTAATAAAACAGTAGCTAGCCCAGGGCTATTCAACAAAACTGCTCCGGGGTCCACAGTTTCTGGAAGCCAGCAGCTCAGGGGCCGGACATCCAGCAATTCAAGTAATTATGTAAATAAACCAAGTTTTACAATGATCTGTTGCCTTTTAAATTTGTTTGTTTTATTGCATTGAATCATGAATGCAATAAACAGAACACAACCCCAGAACCCCCCTTCCCCCCCAAAAAAAATTTTTTTTAATGAAGTGGACCGGATTGAAGTCATCCTCCGGCCCGTGAGCCGCCAGTGTAATAGCTTTAAGCTAGCCATTAACCTAGCCTGGACAATACTTCTGCCCTTTCCTTCATACTCTGTGCTCTATGACTGATGACATTGCTAAGGTACTCAATCTTGAAAATTATTTGACAGAACATCACTTCAGAAATGACCAGACTAGCCTTTTAAGCATTTAAAGATCTATCCACAACAGGTAAGATATTAATTGTTAAAATACCTTTCTACTTCAAAAAAATCTCAATTATCCTTTGATGTGTATTAAAATGATTATTAAACAATACCTACTTTATAAGGTTAAACATTTTATCTTGTATTATGTGTTTAATCTTGATAATATAGTTCATCATTGAACTTAAATTGAAATAATCCATGTATAATTTTGGGTAAAATGCATCACAGTGAGCATTGATAAAAGCAACATTATCCTCCCGTTACTGTTACCATTTACCCATAATTCTCACTCAGCCTGCCTGAAAATAAATAAAATGTTTAGTTAGCAGTACGATAACTGAATGTGATGATTGTGAGTTTTAATCTGGAGATAATCAGAGAAACTTTCTTCTTCTAGGCGACAAAAGACCCTATTTGTCACTTCCAAGACCTGGGGTGTGTATCACGCTATTCATCCTCATAAATGTTTTACTGAAACAGCGGTTTGCAGTTTCGTGATTGAATAGCATTCTGTTTTTTTGTTTGTTTGTTGGTAATTTCCTCAGAAACACACCGCTAACCTGAAGTCTGCCAAGGCTGTCAAGTTGGATGCAGAGGTAGCGTGCGCTGCTTGCTCATCTGGCTTTCAGCACAATTAATCACCTCCCTTCCCGTGGCGTGTTCTGTCAGCAGAATATTCATCTCTTGGACACGTTGTGTCACTTTCTTAGAAAATTGTTGGTGTAGTAATCTGTTGCAAATTTGCTTGGCTGCAGTTTTCCTTGTGCTTCACCACCGCAGGAAGCAGCTTTATGGTGATTAGAGGCTGTCTAAGTGTGAAAACAAGTGAAAAGAAGCCCGTTTGCTCATTTGCATTTTCAGAATAACATCCATTATGCTTCAAACACCCCCCCCCACCCCCCAAAAAAAATATTTGTGTCCATGTGGGTGCAGGAGCAGACAAGCATGGCCAAGCTGGGGCTGGAGCTCCGTCTGCTGTCGTCAGATGTCGACTCAGAGGTGGAGAAGTGGGAGGAGCAGGAGCACGACATCGTCCGGCAGAGTCAGAGCATCGCCAGCATGGCCTACAACATGTACCTGTTCACCAGGTAGCCCGCAGAAATCAAACTGTGCACCTTTTTTATTAGATTTACAGCTAACCAGACACATGAACCAAACCTGCAGCTATCAATATTTACAGGACAAATGTCCAGGTTGACGTGACCTTCAGTCACTCTGACATTCTGATTATTTGTTTACACTTTTAGTAGTTGTAGTTTGTGTTTCTATGTAATATTTCTCTCATCGATTTCCCCAGAGGTGAGGGGTTATTGAAGACAACCCTGGATCTTTTTCATCAGGCCGAGGTATCAGTGTCCACATTCTTTCTCCTCCTTTTATTTCCCCTTTCCTTCCGTCGTATTAAAGCTGTAGATGAAGCACGTACTCTTTCATTAAATCAGAAATGGATGGCCAATCAATAGGGGAAGTAAATGCACTCATTCAATGATTCATTAATCCTCTGCAGATTTGACAGATTATGATTTTAAAAAGTTATAAATGTGCCGGGAACATCGCGCTGCCATCTCAGGAGTGATGAGGCTGCGTGAAGGGTTGTAAACTATTGAACTGAAATCATTACCTCTAATGTGGAGTCATTTGTAGAACCACGGCCCAATGTGTCAGCCAGGATTTATTCAGTTTGGATGAGAATAAATACGAGCGAGAGATGAGAAGATCCAAAACAAATTATATTTCTAAGCTTAAGTGACTACCCGGTAAATGTGAAAGGCAGACGTGTTAACGTATACAGTAGTCCTTTGCTACATCGCGGTTCGATTTTCACGGACTCGCTCTATCGCGGTTTTTCAAAATATGATTGGACATGACACACAACTGGCTGATTGATGGATGAGCCGCATGATCAGCATGGAATTTTTATTTAAAATAAATTATTTTAAATTATTTAGCACTTGCTGCACCTTTGTGCAACTCACACTGCAGAAGACTTCCTCCTGCAGCTCCTTCTCCTTCCTCCTCTGTTCATCTCCATTCTGCAGTGGAGAAGTGGGCGTGGCCAAGTGCGCAGAGTGCAGCTGTGGCAGAGAGCTGAAATCATGACAAGCTGTGCTCTTTTAGAGCATTTAGAGTTTAGAAACATTTTCTAGAATCTTGCAAGAGTGTGGGAAGGCTTTAAAACACCTGTATATATATATAT